TGCATGTGTACTTTGTGATAACTAATCTCCGACTAAATAAACAAAAACTATAAATCCAAAACTTTTTCCCATTTGACGCCCAAATACAGATGAAATCAAAGATGGTTTTGAGAATACACAGCTTTGTTTACATTCCATTTTTCATCTCTATTTCCCCACCCTCACATAATCCCCTCAACCACACACGGGTCCTGCTCTCCGCTGCTGATTCTCGGGCAACTGAGCTTTAAAGAAACGGGCAGAATTGGTTCCAGTCCGGTGGACACTCCACATCATTTAATGTATTCCAGTCTATTACCACTTTTGTTCTGACACCTCATTTTTTTCCACCAATATATGAGGGGGTCATTCAATAACTGACACCTCTCTTCCATACCGTAGTCACATCTCTGTTGCTGTTTGAGCATGTGTCACAGCTGAGAGGCCTGAATTTCAAGAGATAGATTTGCTGACAGAGACATCTCATCACTCCTTGGGCTGAGGCTCGCGCAGGAAATGCTGCACTGTAAAGGTGCAGTAGCCTTGTCACTTTCATCTGAGGTAATTGATCACAGCAGACAACAGCTGATGTGTGCAAGTCAATTGTAGGGGGCAAAAGGATGCTGCTTATTCAGATAAAAGATCTCTAGCATCCCCACCAGTCACTCTCGCTGATAGCTAGGCATCATTATGGACAGGAAATCAACCTGGCAGGCTCGCTCCTTAGAAATATACTTAACAGTTTGGTCAACGTACAGTGCATGTCTACAGCTTAAACTTCTTTCCAACCAGTTAACAATCTCATCCCTCCGCCAGGGCATAAAATCTCTCCCCACACACCCGACAAGCTGCCCATATGATGCGCTGGAAGAGAGGCGTCTAGCTGTCATAGTGCAGGTGCACTGGGAAAAACATTCTGACTTTAAAAAAAACAAGCATACCCTGGGACTTCTCAAATGCCACTTAGCATTCAAGGGCTTCGTGATTCATTAGTAGCCCAGCAGACTGGTTAGATGGAAGCATCTGTTATCTGGTTCCAGTCCTTATGCCATCAATGTCACAAATAATCACATACAACAGGTGGTTTTTACAGCTACAGGTCCTTTAATACCCAGCCTGCTGCATTACCTGCCATTACTCTTTACTCATAATTCATACACAAAGTTGGCACCACTTTTAAGATTATTCAGATTGAGGTGGATTCTTTAGATGTATTATTTTATTCATGTTTAGCTGAATTTATTTCACATTACATTTTAAAGCACTGCTCACAGATTGTAACCAGAGCTGTTATTGGCAGACAAAGATCAATGGATCTCCATTAGATCTACAAACCAGGAGAACATGACAATTGACTTTTTGCTAAGCCCCGCCCCTTTGTGATGGTCCAACAAGCTGTCAGAGTAAGCATGGAGCCCACACTGTAACTAACTGCACTCCCTGAAGAAATATTATCATATTTTTGGAGAAATGAAAGTGATTCCAGAGAGAAGCAGACAGAGGGGTCTACAGTCTGTGTTTGAAGGATATATCCAGGATGTCAAACTGACTCAGCAGCAACAACAGGTTCAAAAGACAAAGATAGTTAGAAGCTAAAGCCGAACTATAGGCTACAGATCACAGTGTAAAAGTGAACCACCACATCACTGCTGATTGCTACACAAGACAATGAATATAAAGGGAAACTTTGCTGATATTGAACCAGCTGTGTGGCATCACAGTGTGTGCAGATGAACCGTGTTTGGCTTCACCTGTGTGCCGCTGCCAGCACCTGGACCTCCACTGCTTTGTAATCATGTGTAGCAGCCCTTTCTTGCATTTTTTTTTTTTGTGTTTTGCATTGCTTGTTTAGAGCTGTTATTTTTGTATTTTTTTTTTTATTTACATTGTAGATTCTCACTGAAGGCATCAAAACTATGAATGAACACATGTGGAGTTATGTACTTAACAAAAAAAGGTGAAATAACTGAAAACATGTTTTATATTCTAGTTTCTTCAAAATAGCCACCCTTTGCTCTGATTACTGCTTTGCACACTCTTGGCATTCTCTCCATGAGCTTCAAGAGGTAGTCACCTGAAATGGTTTTCCAACAGTCTTGAAGGAGTTCCCAGAGGTGTTTAGCACTTGTTGGCCCCTTTGCCTTCACTCTGCGGTCCAGCTCACCCCAAACCATCTCGATTGGGTTCAGGTCCGGTGACTGTGGAGGCCAGGTCATCTGCCGCAGCACTCCATCACTCTCCTTCTTGGTCAAATAGCCCTTACACAGCCTGGAGGTGTGTTTGGGGTCATTGTCCTGTTGAAAAATAAATGATCGTCCAACTAAACGCAAACCGGATGGGATGGCATGTCGCTGCAGGATGCTGTGGTAGCCATGCTGGTTCAGTGTGCCTTCAATTTTGAATAAATCCCCAACAGTGTCACCAGCAAAACACCCCCACACCATCACACCTCCTCCTCCATGCTTCACAGTGGGAACCAGGCATGTGGAATCCATCCGTTCACCTTTTCTGCGTCTCACAAAGACACGGCGGTTGGAACCAAAGATCTCAAATTTGGACTCATCAGACCAAAGCACAGATTTCCACTGGTCTAATGTCCATTCCTTGTGTTTCTTGGCCCAAACAAATCTCTTCTGCTTGTTGCCTCTCCTTAGCAGTGGTTTCCTAGCAGCTATTTGACCATGAAGGCCTGATTGGCGCAGTCTCCTCTTAACAGTTGTTCTAGAGATGGGTCTGCTGCTAGAACTCTGTGTGGCATTCATCTGGTCTCTGATCTGAGCTGCTGTTAACTTGCCATTTCTGAGGCTGGTGACTCGGATGAACTTATCCTCAGAAGCAGAGGTGACTCTTGGTCTTCCTTTCCTGGGTCGATCCTCATGTGTGCCAGTTTAGTTGTAGCGCTTGATGGTTTTTGCGACTCCACTTGGGGACACATTTAAAGTTTTTGCAATTTTCCGGACTGACTGACCTTCATTTCTTAAAGTAATGATGGCCACTCGTTTTTCTTTAGTTAGCTGATTGGTTCTTGCCATAATATGAATTTTAACAGTTGTCCAATAGGGCTGTCGGCTGTGTATTAACCTGACTTCTGCACAACACAACTGATGGTCCCAAACCCATTGATAAAGCAAGAAATTCCACTAATTAACCCTGATAAGGCACACCTGTGAAGTGGAAACCATTTCAGGTGACTACCTCTTGAAGCTCATGGAGAGAATGCCAAGAGTGTGCAAAACAGTAATCAGAGCAAAGGGTGGCTATTTTGAAGAAACTAGAATATAAAACATGTTTTCAGTTATTTCACCTTTTTTTGTTAAGTACATAACTCCACATGTGTTCATTCATAGTTTTGATGCCTTCAGTGAGAATCTACAATGTAAATAGTCATGAAAATAAAGAAAATGCATTGAATGAGAAGGTGTGTCCAAACTTTTGGCCTGTACTGTATGTATATGTATATGTACATACCCCCACCTATACAAGGGTGCCTCCCTCCTTTCCTCCCCCCTTTTGCTGTTAAGCTGTTAATGCATTCGTTTTTCAGCCTAAACTTGGATACTATTCGTATGTATAATATGCTGACATATTTCTGTGTCACTTAATATGTGTAAGGACTCAAGTAATGAGGTTGTAATCGTCAGAGGATTTTTTTTTTACCTCTTTCTGTCACGTATGTTTTCTGTTTTATCGTATTGAACTGAATGTAACATGGCCGCCCTTTTGCTGTTGTACTCCACGGGAGAGAAGCTCAAGTTATATGGTTGCAATTGACGGGAGATTTTGTTTTTACCTCTTGCTGTCAGAGTTGTCAAGAAAAATATACATATATATCAATGTTTCTAACGTGATGTTATGTGTGAGCTGACTTTTCAAGACCAACAAACAGCAAAACTGGTTGTTTTTTTAGTGAGTCATCCGTGTGTTTCCAGCAGAGATGGTGCTACAGGAAGTGGTTGTTTTTTACTGAGACATTGCTGCATTTCCTGCAGACACAGTGCCACAAAAAGTGGTTGTTTTTTACCAAGACGTCGCCTCTGCTGACATAGTGCCATGTAAAGCGGGTATTTTAATCCAACACATGATCTCTTCCTACCCATAACCAAGTGTTTTTTGTTCCTGAACTCAACCACGTGATACACAGCGTGGCTGAAACATAAAGAAATGCAAAGTTTAAACATACATTATAACGTACAAATGTAACACATCAGTGACTTGCAGTTGCCCGTACACACCACCCTGTTGTGGTGAATACTCAGTAGATCAACAAATGTGTATTATTCTGCGGCTGAAAATAGGTCCCAGCAAATACATTATTTGCACATCTGTTTTGGTAAATTACTGAGCCTTTAAAAATTAATAAGACCATATAGTTGTGATCTGGTTTTAAAGATGCATCTTCAGTAGGAATTATTTGGTTGGGAGGTGAGTGCTACAGACAGGAGGCCATAAAATATTAAGAGACAGAATAACAAATAACGTTTGTTTTGGTCTTTTCATGGGACTTGTTATCAGGACTAAAATATGGAATATTATAAGCCCTGTTCTTTAAAATCAGTCTCCAAACGGCACTATGAGCTCAGTCATGTTTAGTTAAGTCAGTGAGGGTGTATTTAAGCACACCTGCTATTACAGGGTGGTACATGATCATACACACCCCTATAATTTAGCTATTCAAGCCAAAAATCGTGTTTTTTTTTTAAGAAAATGGAGTCCAGAACAACACAAAATATGGCCTAAAAAACACCTCCCTAACACAGTCTAAACAAAAACAACACATGGAATATAAAATTCAGCAAACAGCATAATTCAATATGCACTCTCTTGCTTGTGTTGATTGATGGCGTAATGTTTAATTCTGCATGGTACAACATTGAGGAAACAAACACATATCTAATTCGAAGTACCCAGCCCTAGCTACCAGAGCAGTTTGTTATTTATTTAATGTTTATTTACACATGCTGGGTTGGCTGATCATACGAGCTCTTTCCCATCAGCACACTGCTCCTCACTCTCCATCACAAACACTCAAGTTTATGATTCAGTAGGACCGGGGCCATCTATGGACGAGTGGATAGTTTTGCCACACAGTTTATTTTATTTATTTATTTGCACAGTAATAAAAAAAACAAACAAAATACATGCAATAGAAAAGACAGTAACTTCACTGCAGGAGAGGAAGGGAGCCCGAAAGGCTTGTTTAGAGTTCTCCCCTGTTTAAACAAATAAAAAACTGACATTACTGCTCATTAAAAATGAAACAAAACAACAATGTAAACAACAATAAAACAAAGAAAACAAAAAATCTGCATACACAACATACAAGAAAAGACAAACAGTGGTAAAAGAAATGAAAGAAAGTAAAAATAAGACAGCGATAAATGAAGATGCCATAATGACGTTTTTTTAAACTGTCTGTTGAATGGTTATTGGCTCTGATGTCATCCCGTGACAGATACTGTCCACTTTCTCTCCTCTCCAAAGTAGCCATAAACGGGCTGAATTGGAGGTTTCTGACCCATCTCGACACGTCCCTCCTGCCGAGAAAAGACATCATAATTACCAGAGGCTGTGAACTTGACACTCGCCCCCTTTTGAATGGGGGAAATGATGGAAGTGAGGATGGATGTGGATGTCTCCTGTGGACATAATCACACCATCTTCAGAACCTACAAATTATTTTGAGAACACACAACAGGGAGCATCTGCTAAGGCACAGACAGCTCTGCTGAAGTAGCGAGCATGAATCCATTTTGACATTAGGTGGACGATCCACATTACTGAGGATTTTTAGCTGTTTACGCTGATGAATGAGATAAAGGAGGATGCTTCTAGGTAATTTGTGACATTAGTAAAATTTAATAAGACCGTTTAGTTTGGGTAAAGTAAAATCAGCAAATCCTCTAACACACATTAGAAAATACTTGTAGCACATAGACCTGCCTCCTAATAGTCGACCAAACGTTAGTCGACCCTTAATTGTCATTAGCCGGCAAGATTTTGTTGGTCGCTTAGTCGCAGAAAAACTAAACTAATTTGAAAAGACAGACACAGGAAGCGGCCACGCTCAGCAGTCAGACAGGAGTCATGTTACAAACCAACCACAGCCGACAGATATCTTTCCCTTCTTCTGTAAATATTCAGTCTGATAAATACGGAAAAGTTGATCATGTTAGTGCAGGGCTACCCAGAGCTTTACATCTGTCCCACAGACGAAAGACATACACAATTATAAACAGCACCTGAAAGAAGATCAGCTCTGCACTCAGAATTTCAGGTAAATAGGCTATACGAAGGTACGAAGGTTGCTTAGAGGCCTCAGACGCAACCTGCCGCCGCACTCTTGAAAGCTGGCACAAAAAAGGCACAAGCATAGCACCCAACACCCGACCTCGCGTTTTCCAGACAGTTAAAGACGCAGCATGTGTACAGCCCCTGATTTCCAGGGCTGGTACCTGTGGTTATCCCACAGGCTAGTTAATAACATGTCGGGCAGGAAATCCAAAGTGTGGGATCATTTTGAGAAGGTGAAGGACGAACCCAAGGTGATATGTAAACTCATCTTCATTGGTCGACTACAAACATGAAGTATCATCTGAAACATGTCAGTAGCTACATGCCCATTAGCCACTTAGCACAATCATTACTGCTTTGCCGACAGCGTCACTAACAGGCGGCTCGCTCAGTGTGTGACGTGCACTTGTAGATAAAATATAGGCCTAGATTAATGAAGGGTCATTAGTACGCTTTTGTATTTCTCGGCCCAAAGCCAAGGGGCAGCCCATGAAAAGGTCTATGATTGACCCTTAAATGGGATCAAGTGCAAAAAATTACTTACTGACTTAAATCACCGACAATACAAGTTCTATGTATTAACATGATAAATAAATGTAATTTTATAATTAAAACACATTTCAGTGTGCCTTCTGCTGCTCCCCTAAACAGTCTTTAAATAGCAAATTGCATATATTGGGTTTGACTGGAAGTGAGTGTGTTGACAGCCATATACTCTTTACACTATTTCAGTTCTGCACACCATTATGTTATTAAAGTAACCCCGAGATTGAATGAATAAATAAAGAAACATAATTATTTGTTCACTTCTTATGATTTAATACCTCAATGTTTGATTTTAATTTTCTCTTATCATTTATTTGGAGGGCATTCTTTCAGCCCAGGACAAACATGTGACTACCTCTGCTTTCAAAATAAGAAAACAAGGTCTTAACAGTAGGTATAAGTACAAGCAGATACAAAATATCATATCTGTAGAAATTTGATTAATTGGATTATATTATTCGCAGGAAGTATAAAAATGTGTAAGGACCCCCCCCCCCCCAGTTGGGTGTGGATGAGAGGCCTCCTGTCTGTATTTCTGAACAGCTGGCCTGATCTGACTATATAAAAACTAACATCAGAGCACGTAGTGTCAGAGTAGTTTCGTTCACCCCATGCGTGAGCGGCAAGTTCACTATGCACAATAAGCTCTCTTAAGCCCAGTTCAGACCAAAGATTCGTGACGAGGCGAAGCGGTTTCAGAAGGTTGCAGAAAAAAGTTGCAGTGGTGTGAACTGGCCATCTGAGCTTGACCCAAGCCGGCTGATGGTGTCACCTGCAACTCAACTGGTCAAATCGCCAGCAGCTGGTTAAAGAACGTAAACCACTTCACCTGTTTCTACAGCCAAGCAACTTGTAGTGAAGTCAATCATTCAAATTTGCCTGGATGGTTGATAACACATTTTTTCGTGGTGTGACAAAGTCAGAATGCATATTTATATTTTCTTTACCCAGACATTTTTTATTTGTCCTAATTTGTAATTTAGGAATATGCTGTTCAGTTTTATTAATGAGATGACCAATGTCTATGGTTTTGTCGAGTGTTTTTTCCCCACTTTCTCAGACAATGATTCACTTATTCTTACGCAACTTCAATCTGCTCTCATCCTGATCACAGGCCAGATTTGAGTCTTTCTAATCGCTAACTGCCATTTTAGTCGAGAAGCAAATTACTCCACTTTAGTCCATAGCATTGCTTCACAGACATCCCTTCATCAATCGTAATTCATAATATCAGAATTAAACATCTGCTTGGTCCTCCCATCCAAGCTGTTTTCAGTGTTTCTGATGTTGCGCTTCACGTATCTCGTATCTAATGTTCAGTATACAGCTGAGACACACCTTACCAGCTGTGTGGGTGCTTTTTCTCTGAATACACTTTTTTTTGCTGTGATCCATATGTGTTGACATAAAATTGGATCATGTTAACACATTTTCTTCCAATTACTCTTGTAATTCAAAGTAACGTCAATTAATTTACGTCATAAACAGCATACACGGCAGATGTTAGATTTCTTGAGTGGCCTCTGAAATAATACTCCGTTTTCTAACATATGAATAAAAAATAAAGTTATGCTTTTTCTTGCTGGGGAATTAAAACAATGCACATAAATACGCGCACATTTGAGCCTCATTTTCTATAAGGCACATCCAAGGGTCTAGGGCAAAATCTGACTGCTCACTTTAAAATTGCCGTGGACACAATAGCAATTTCAGGGTTGTTCAAGTTGAGACGGTGCAAGAGATCTCTCAGGCTTGTCGACCTTTATCTCAGCAAACATCAGAATCCCTATACAAAAAAGCAGAAAATGAGCTATTGATTTTCCGTTTTTCTTTTCCCCCCTCACTTTCTTATTCCCCTCTGGTATTGTCATTCTATAGTCTAAATGAAGGTCAGCATTGGTTTCCTTGTCACTGCCACAGAGATGCACAATAGAAATATAGCAATCCGTGTTTTTGAAAGAAAAAGGTCTTGTAAGATGGGAAGAGGATGCTTTTGTCTTCGGAGATTAATTTCCACAATGCAACCCTTTTCTTTAAAACAACACAGTTTTCAGTACGTGCTAGATATTTGCACACAGTGTACGAGTATATGAACGCCTGCACACACATACACTGAATAAGAAAATAACTTGCTGGATATAAAGGAAACACACCACTCAGTAACAGAATCTAAATTTAATTGGTGACATTTAAAGCAGTATTTTAATGTGAGCAACAATCTTAGGAGGCTTTCACCTCAGGGCACAAATCTTAGTATGCTTGACTTCAAAGTCCAGTTGATTTAATTAGTGTGAACAATGTGTGCTATACCTGGGCACGGTATGTCAATGATTGCCCAGAGCGAAGTGAAAAGGTGTTCTCGAGTTCGGTTTATGTGTACTTGGGTACGGTTTGCATCAGGTTTGAAAACTAAAGCCCAGTTTCCACCAAACACTTTCGGTATGGTACCTTTGAAACCTTTAAGTAACCTTTTAGACATGGTGCCCAGACCCTAGCGTTTCCACCACAAACAGTTCTCAGAATATATATATATAAAAACCAATGGAATGCTCAAAGTTGTGACAGTGAAATTTAAGGTGTGTTGATGGATTCATGTCATCAACTCATGTTTTGAGTAATGTCGCAAGTTAACATTCCACCTTATATATTGCCGGCAGTCAGCCCAGTGAATTAAGTTATTTTTTTCTCCGACTCCAGCTGCTGTGAGAGGCAGCAAAACATCCTTGAATTTTATAGTCACAGTCTACTAATAAAACTCTCCACAGTATGAACAGTGGTTACATGAGCTTCAAAACCAGCCACAACTCAGCCCTGAGCAGAGTGACCGTCCTCTATTGACCAATCAACAGACTGCAGTGTCCACAGCTCCACCTTTTAGTACCAGATCTGTGTGCTAGGTACCCCAACAGAGGGGGGACCAAAAATGGGGACGGTACGGAACGGTTCCATTGGTACCATCCACAACTTTTCAAGGTGGAAACGGAAAAAAAGCGTACCAAACTGAAATGTACTGTACTGGTGGTGGAAACAAGGCTTAACTCTTCCAAAACATGGAAGCGGATTGCTATTTAATCAAGCGGCAACCTACAGGGCTCAAAAATAAAGCCAGCACTGACGTGCCAAAAACTGCAGTTCCTTGAATGGCCACTTGAGGCTGGCTCCAGATGCCAGTCAATCCCCATAGACCCCATGTTAAAATGCCTTGCTTTACAGCAGAAATAAACATGTTTACAGCCCCGTACAAAAAACATTTTGTCTCTCAAGCTAATGTCCTCCTTCATGACAACTGTACATTTAAATTTCATTAAGGCTTGAAGTTATGCATATTTAAGGTCAGGGCTGCTTTGAGTGACAGGCTGTCTGCAAGGCACTGCTGCAGTATATGAGTCAGTTCTACCCTCTGGTCCAAATGTGGTGACTTTTGGCTCCCAAAAAAAACCCAAGATGGCTAAAGTCTAAATGCCAAAATCAAGGCGTCAGAACAGGAGTCAACAAACCAATAGGTGACGTCATGGTAGCCACGTCCATTATTTCATAGTCTTTGTATTTTACATAAGTAGCAGTCTGCGAGGAGAATTGCAAAGGCAATTTTCAACGCCGCCTATCTCTTCCAGACTCTACATATGTGCACAGAATGTGCCAATCTCATGCTCTGAGCTGTACAGCCATGGGTGATGAAGTAGAAAGGTGGGTGGAA